GTCAAGATATAAAGAAAAAACTAAACAAAATAAACTTTTATTCCAAATAAAACAGTCAGAAAAAGAAAATAGTTTAACTCCAAGACGTAAACTCAAAAGTCGAAAGAAGACAGTCAGATGGCAGCAAAGTCAATGCCTGTGATAAAATAATAAAATAGCACATATATGGCGATATTTAGTAATTCACTATACCATGATAACTCGACATTCCAAATAAATATTTAATAATGAATAATAATGAAAAAAAAAATAATAATGAATTCCATCAGAATTCCAAAAAAAAAAATGTCAGAACTCCAAAGAAAGCAGTCCGAATTTTAAAAAAGGTCAGAATTCCAAGACGTAAACTCAAAATTCCAAAGAAAACTCTGGAAAGATGTAAACTCAGAACACATCCAAAGAAAACCATCAGAATTCAAAAACATTAGATTTCTGAGATATAAAACCTGAATTCCAAAAAAAAATAAAAAATACTATTAAAACAAAACAAAAAAAGACAAGACAAGACAAAAGGTCAAAATTCTGAGATGTAAACTCAAAATTCCAAAGAAAACAGCCAGAATTTAAACCTTTTTTAAAAAAAAAAGCTCAGACTTAACATGTAAACTCTCATTCTAAGCAAGAAAAGTCACAATTAAAACGAAGCAAGATAATAAAAAAGTTTAGAATTCCAAGATGTCAACCCAGAATTCAATAAAAATACATCGGAATTCTGAGATGTAAAAAGCAGAACACATCAAAAAAGAAAAAACTGAATTCCAAATGTAAATGCAAATGCAGAATTCCAAAGAAAAGCCACAATCAAAACAAAACGAATAAAAAAGGTCAGAATTCTAATATGTAAAATCAGACAACATCTAAAGAAAACCATTAGAATAAAAAAGGTCTGAATTTTAAATAGTAAAAAATAAAGTCACAATCATAACAAAACAAAACAAAGAAAAGAAAAATTATATAAATTTATATATAATATATGTAAACTCAGCATTCTGAGGTAAACCATCAGAATTGAAAAAGCCCAGAATTCCAAAATGTACACTCAGAACTCCAAAGAAAAGCCACAATCAAAACAAAACAAAGAAAAAAAGGTCAGAAATCCAAAATGTAAACCCGAAATTTAAAATGGATTCACAAATCACACAAATAAAACAAAACAAAAACCGTCAGAACATTAAGAGGTTAATACATAATTCCAAAAGAAAAGTCACAATTAAGGCGACGTAGTGGCGCAGTAGGTAGTGCGGTCGCCTCACTGCAAGAAGGTCACTGGGTTGCTGGGTTGCTGGTTCAAGCCTTAGCTCAGTTGGCGTTTCTGTGTTCGCGTGAGTTTCCTCCGGGTCCTCCGGTTTCCCCCACAGTCAGAATTAAAAAGGCTAATAATGAGTGTGTGTGGATATTTCCCAGAGATGGGTTGCGGCTGGAAGGGCATCCGCTGCTTAAAAACGTGCTGGATAAACTTAGAATTCCAAAGAAAACAGACAGACTTTTTACTCTAAAAAAGCTCAGAATTGACATGTAAACTCTCATTCCAAAGAAAAGTCACAATTAAAACAAAACAAAATAAAAAGGTCAGAATTCCAAGATGTAAAATCAAAAAAATCCAAATGGGTTCACAATTCACAATTAAAACAATACAAAGAAACAAAACTAAAAAGGTCAGAACTTTAAGATGCTAACTCAGTATTCCAAAGAAAATTCACAATAAAAACAAAATCAAACAAAACAAAAAAAAGGACAAAATATCAAAATGCAAACTCAAAAATCCAGAGAAAACAGTCAGAATAAAAAGGTCAAAATTCCAAAAACAGCCAGAATTAAAAAAAAGATAAGCTCTCATTCTAAAGAAGTCACAATTCAAACAAAACAAAATAAAAAGGTTTAGAATTCCAAGATGTAAAATCAGTTTTCCAAAGAAAAAGTCACAAACAAAATTAAACAAAACTAAACAAAACAAAATCAAACAAAACAAAAAAATACAAAAAAAAAACAGAAGTTAAAGATGCAAAATCAGAATTCCAAAGAAAGTCACAAAACGAAACAAGTCAAAACAAAACTAAACTAAACTAAACAAAAAACTAAACTAAATTGAACAAAATTAAACAAAACAAAATTAAACAAACCAAACAAACATAACAAAACAAAATTAAACAAATCAAGACAAAACAAAAGAAAATTAAACAAAAGAAAGTTAAACAAATCCAAGACAAAACAAAACAAAATTAAACAAATCTAAATTGAAAAAATATTAAACAAAACTAAATTAAACAAAACAAAACTAAACTAAACTTAATTGAACAAAACATAACAAAACAAAATTAAACAAATCAAGACAAAACAAAAGAAAATTAAACAAAAGAAAATTAAACAAATCCAAGACAAAACAAAACAAAATTAAACAAATCTAAATTGAAAAATATTAAACAAAACTAAATTAAACAAAACTAAACTAAACTAAACTTAATTGAACAAAACAAAACAAAACTAAATTGAACAAAATTAAACAAAACAAAATTAAACAAACCAAACAAATAAAACAAAACAAAACAAAACAAAACAAAACTAAATTGAACAAAATGAAACAAAACAAAATTGAGCAAAACAAAACTAAATTAAACAAAACAAAATTAAAACTAAATTAAACAAAATGAAACAAAACAAAATTAAACAAAACAAAAAATTAAACAAAACAAAATGAAACAAAACAAAACAAAATTAAACAAAACAAAACAAAACAAAACAAAACAAAACAACAAAAACAAAAGCTGAAAATCAGAATTCCAAAGAAAAAACATCATAATTCAAAAAAGGTCAGAATTGCAAGATGTAAACTCGGAATTCTAAATTGAACAGTTAGAACACCAAAAAGAACAGTCAGAATTCTAAAAATTCTAAAATAAGAAACCCAAAGTTTAAGAACTGCTGACATCTCACAAGCCTTAAACCTTTGAATCATATTCAGTTTAGCTCAAACACTATAATTACGCATTATTGAAAGGTCAACACTTTCATACACACACTGCCTTTTACAACAGCACACACATTCATATATTATTACTGAACATTTGACACAAACCCGAACACAGCAACCTGTGTGTATCTGACTATCCGCTTTTTGAACATGCTTTTGCATGAAGATGGAAAGTTAAAGGTCTGGCCGCAAGCGGCGGATTAGCATGGATTAGCTGAATGATCAATAGTTTTGGTGAACGCTGCTCTGCTGCATTAAAGCGAGATGCGCAGGAGCTGGAGTTGGGCAGGGCTCAGTTCAAATGGCTCATTGCGGTTTATTTATAAACGTGTTCTCGTTAGGGATGGCAGAGTTAGTATCTTAGCAACAGCTCGACTGCAGATACGCAGAGAGTTTTTTAGGAAAGTACATGTGCTGGTGCCACTCAGTGTGTGGATTCAGGTCAAAGTTTTGCTGTGTGTGTGTGTGTGTGTGTGTGTGTGTGTGTGTGTGTGTGTGTGTGTGTGTGTGTGTGTGTGTGTGTGTGTGTGTGTGTGTGTGTGTATCAGAGTTAAGTAGCAGGATTTAAGTGAAAAATCATGATAAATTTGTGTTTGTGATGCAGAATAAATCAAGAGCTCTTTGGTTTTGTCAGAAGTTTGAATAAAAATGTAAAATATTGGTCAAATGTAAAACTAATTAAATCTGCATATGCATTTTTGTTTAGAGTGACACATGTTATATATGGAGCACTACACGTTCAGTTTCAGTGCATGTTTGTGGGAATTACCAATGGGTCTGTATGGGCCCTTCATTCATTCATTTTCCTTCAGCTTAGTCCCTTTATTCATTAGGAGTCGCCACGGCGAAATGAACGACCAACTAATCCATCTAGTACTGGGAAACATCCATACACACTTATTCACACTTGTGCACTACGGCCAATTTAGTTCACTCAATTCCACCATAGTGCATGTGTTTGGACTGTGGGGGAAACCGAAGCACTCAGAGGAAACCCACAACAACACAAGGAGAACAAGCAAACTCCACACAGAAATGCCAACTGGCCCAGCTGGGACTCGAACCAGCGACCTTCTTGCTTTAAGGCGACCATGCCACCTTCTAAAATATTTTACTAGTTATTTTGAAAAATACTAGTATTCAGCTTTTAAAGGCTTAACTAGGTTAATTAGGCAAGTTATTGAACAACATTTATTCTCTAGCCAATAGAAAACAATGTTAATATTTAAAGGGGGGCTAATGCCCGTTCCCACCTCTGAATTTAAATAAAGTGTTACTGCAACTTTTTAATGTCAGAATTGCATTATACAAGCTCGCAATCCTGTCTTGCTCTTTTCTCAGAATTGTAAGATGTGAATTTAAAATTGCGAATTATTAAAACAGAACTGCAAGACATGAGCTCAAATTCAGAGAAATAAAGCCAAAATTCTAATAGAAAAGTCAGAATTGTGAGTTTTGAAATTGTTTGTATGAAAATGGTTAAAGATTGATATTAAAAACGTCACCTTTTTATATTTTATTCAGAGGCAGCAAAGGAATTCCATAGATCAGTGGTTCTCAAACTGTGGTACGTGTACCACTACTGGTACGCGGGCTTCCTTCTAGTGGTACGCGGAGATATCAAATATGTCATATGTACATGCTACATATATTTGAAAATGTATCAACAATTATTTATATATGAATATGACATATACTATTATTTATTTTATGACATATAGCCTATATTTCTGAGGTCCAGGCAACATTTCCTGGTGTTGATGAATTGTCTACTATATGTTAATACTTTACATTAAAGTACAGCACTTTTATTTTTACTTTTTAAGAATATTAACCTACCATTTTTAACATTTATAAGCACATTTTAATTTGAATGTTGACGTTTTTAGTTGGCTTGTTTTTATAAGCACAGTACAGTGTTAACGTTCAGACTATTTATAATGTTTAAAATGACTGACAATAATAAATATTCTTAATAATAGAAATTAATCTGCCATGTTTTAGGACTGTGCAGAGCTGTAGCTGCTTTACT